AACAATGCAGTGTTAGATTAGATAATGTTCAAGTTGTAGATAACAAATTTGTCTTCTTGGCGACAATTTGATATTATTTCATTTCATTTATTCAATAGTTTCAAATATGATGTAATGGTATGGAATTTTCAGTTAAACAAACATTACACAACTTTTCTCCATGTTTAAATGGCTCTGCCCTATCGATAATCTTCCATGTAAGAATAGGATTTGAAAAGCCATTTTTTTTTTGATTTCTCAGATATATTTTAAAAGTTCTGTGGAAGTTTGTCAAATATGTTGGTATATTCTACAAAAAGAGTGCTCAATATTTTTTAAAGTACAGATCAGCAATAAATTAGTAAAAAATGCTTATCTAACTTTATGGTTACTGGTGTTAGAGAAGGAATTGCCAGGCCTATCAAGTAGCTCAATACTTTTATTAGCAAGAAAGGTCTTTTTGGATTTCGAAATATAGTAAAGAACACTACTTTGCATAAAAACTACTTTTTTTACCATTAGGAAACCACTCTTTTATATCTGTTGAATCAAGCTAGTCTGTCAGACAGTCTTGTACTATCTTGTTTCATCACCTTTTGTACAATGTAAAGACTTTGACTGATACCCCTACGATATGCATGAATAAACCATTATAAATCCTGGGTGCTTTACAGTGTTTACAGTACTCATGGTCTGCAACAGATGAATGTGGCTTTGACTTCCAAAGTCTCGAAGGTGATTCATTCCTGACTAAAGCAATAAATACTGTTGTTTTATAATATTTCAAATATTAATAAACTGAATTGGGATAAGACATTAAGGCAAAAACATCTTCTAAAAACTTAAGTAATATTAAAATATTGTTTATGTTTCAAAAGAAACTAATGGAAAATTTACCCTATTCGAGTCATCTTGAGAAAAAGAGGAGTGCTTCTTAACTCATACAAGATGTTTTTAATAAATGCAGGCGTAAGTTTAGGCTTCTTCAGAGGCTTTCTTCACTTGAATCCAAACTCTTAATTTCTCCTTCTTAAAGATTCATGTGAAATTTCTATTCCTTGGTCTTTGAAAACAATTTTCAGTTTTATTGATGGTATCTTTTATTTTATTGATGATATTTTCAGTTTTATTGATGGCATTTTCAGTTTTATTGATGGTATTTTCAGTTTTATTGATGGTATCTTCAATTTTGTTCAATAACTTTTTTTATTTTTCTGTGATCTCTAGCACACTTTTTTTGCAATGTTTGTCAATAACATCTTTATGGAAGCAACCCAATCTTCAATTCTAGATCTTAAATTTGTCTGCATTTGACATCTGTTCCATGTTTACCTCGTTTCACATTTGAAAGAACATGATTTTTGCAAAATGAATTACAATTTTATCTTTAAAATAATGAATATAATGATATATATATATGTATGTATATATATATATATATATATATGTATATATATATATAAATATATATATATATATATATATATATATATATATATATATATGTATATATATATATATATATATATATAAACACATATATATGTATATATGTGTTACATATATATATATATATATATATATATATATATATATATATATATATATATATATATATATATATATATATATATATATATATATATATATATATATATATTTATATATATATACATATATATATATATATATATATACATACATATATATATATATCATTATATTCATTATTTTAAAGATTAAAGAGGTGAATTATAGGTGGACCTTTTAGATCAAAATTTTAAAGCATTAAAGAGGTGAATTAAAAAAATATCTTTCAGATCAAGTCTAAGTATGTTTATTGTGACACTAACACTAGGAAGATTACCACATAGGTTTATGAGTTCCTTCTACTCTTATACACAATTAAATCAGGGGGCTTTAACATTATTTTAATAATGTTTTTATAACACCTAAGTAACTATTATTTATACAAATAATTTTACGAGTGCATAGTAATATTATATTTATTAATTATGTTGTCATAAATTGCTTTGTATTTTAATTATTTGACAAATTTGAATTAATTTACCCATTTGTCTATCAAATAACAAATTTAAGTAAATCAATCCTCAAAAATTCTTTCAGACAAGTTAATAGGTTATGCTAGGTAAAAAAGATTAAAAAATTAAAAAAAACAGGTCTTAACAAATTCTAAGATCAACACTGAATAAACCTTTTTCTACATAAACAAGAAAAATCAAAACATTAAAAAACTAACAAAACCTTATAAAATGTGTTATTACAAAGTACATCAAAGTTTGTATCAAGAGAGATTAGTAAGCATGTGCAAAGATCACTGGAATTGGAAGGAGGATTTTCATCAGTGTCTCGATCAAGTTGTAAATCATCCAAGCTAGTTGAAAGTGATAATTGAGATGCCAGTGAAGACTTCCTAATAGCCAATTTTTCTTTCTAAACAATAAATACAAATTAACTTTAGGTATTTTAATGTTTATGTGGAATAAACTTTCTTTGCAAAATATATATATATATATATATATATATATATATATATAACTATTATTATAATTTAACCAATAAAATGAAAAATGTATGTCAAGCAAAATAACAACTTCAAAAAAAGTTTTTTATATTTCCAAAAAGATATTTAACAAAATACTACAAAATATATTTAACACTAGAGGCCTTTCAATGTTTCATCAGTAGTGCTAGTTTAAGTGCTTTTATGCAAAAAAAAATTTTTTATTTGTGTGACAAAAGTATAATTTTTAATCAATTAAGGTATTGTTGCTATTAGTTACTATTGCTAATGTCCTTTAAAACAGGAAGTGTTAGTTAAAACTATCATGTCTTTGTTTATGCAAATGACTTTCATACAACAATAAATTTTTATCACTTTTAAGTTCTAGAAAAACAAAAAGTTGGAAAAACGGTTCCAATATTTTATTATTTATACGTTGGCAACCATACAAATGGTTGTCAAATCTGTCGGTTGAATGGCCGGTTCTGCAACTTGATGTATAACCATTTATGCGATTTCTCAAATTGTTTGTTTTTCCAGTATATATTGCTTGGCCATTGCACGATAAACATTTTAAATAATAAATTATGTTCTTGCTGTTACAAGTAACATGACCTTTAATGGTCCAGATAGTGCCATTGGATGTTTCAAAATTTTTTAACTCTTGCAGGTAAAATTGACAAACTTTGCAACGACTATCATTACATTTAAAAATTCCTATATTTTTATTGTTGTGTGGTACGGAATTAAATTTAGCAGAAGTAAGTTTTCTCAGTAAATTAGGTGGTCGTTTGTAAGCTATTACAGGGTTAATATTAGAAAAGATTTGTTATATTTTTTCACTAGAGGATAGACTGAATAGAAGATTAGTTCTAGTTAGTATAGACTCACAGTTTATATTACTGTAAAATGTAGTGACTAAAGGAAAGATTTTTAGCTTTCTTTTGTTAAGCTGGTCTTTGCAGTTTTGCATTATGAAATGCTTTTTCAATAACATTGTCCGGGTAATTGCATTTTTTCAGCCATAATTTAAGCTCTGCTAAACATATTTTTTCTGTGGTTTAGTCAGATGTAAATACGATTATTCTTTTTGCAAGATTAAACAGAATGTTTTTTTGATATGGTGAGGATAATGACTATTAAAATTTAAATAATCATGAAGGTTAACTTCTTTATAAAATATATTTGTTTTGATATATTTGTTATTTTGAAGAATGACAGAAATGTCTAAAAATTAATTATATTATAAATATTTTCTTCTTCAATTAATTCAACGGCATATTTAATTGTAAAAATTGACTTGTTTAATTCAGCGAGTGACAACTTAAATTTTTCTATATCTAGATGTTTAAGCCATATGTTAAAACCATCATCAACATATCTATAGTAAAAATGTTCAATACTTTGAACTTCATCATTTAAAAAAAACCTTGTTAAAATTTTTGGAAAAAGTAAAATTTCTTCTAAAAAACCTATCGAAAGACATGCATAGCCTGCTGCAAAGTTTATGCCCATGGCTGTGCCTGTAATTTGGTGAAATAATTAGTTATTGAAGAGGAAATTGTTTTTTAAAATAAAGGATGCTGATTTATAATAAAACTAATAGTAATTTGTTCAGGTATTACATTTTAATGTTTTCCAACTCAGAATTTTAATGCTTCTAAACCAAGGTCGTGGGGAATCGTGGTGTAAAGATTAACAATGTCACACGTCAGTATAATACTATCTAAATCCACTCTTTTTGGAATTTTTCTTAAAATTTTGATCTAAAAGGTCCACCTATAAATATATATATAAATATATATATATATATATATATATATATATATATATATATATATAAAATATAAAGGACTGTTTTTAAAAAACATGATGGAAAAACTAGAAAATATATTTTTGTGCATTATTGATTCAATGATGCACAAAAAAATACATTTTCTAGTTTCTTTGGCATGTCTTTCAAAAACAGTCTTTTCTAGTTCTTTCTTAGCTTTTCTAGTTCACCATATTTGAAGATTATTAATAAGGAAGTTCTAACTGAGTGGTGCCAAATTAATAGACTTGACATTAGTATTGAGCTTACTTAGTGGTACTATGCTAATAGACTTGGCATTGGTATTGAGCTTACTGAGGGGTGCCATGCTAATAAACTTGACACTAGGATATATTAATAATCTTCATGATGTTCTTTTTGCTGATGAAACTACTATATACTTGCTTATAATAATGTTGTAATAATTATAATAATGTTGTAATAATTAATGGCTCATCAAGCCCTCTCATATCATCTCAGATTATTAGATTATCAACTCTCAGATTATCATTTACTACTGATTTCTTCTGAAATTATACAACCTATTGCAAAGTAATCTGCTGGCTGATTCTTATCATTATCAAAGGCTGATTCTTATCATTATCAAAGGCTGATTCTTATCATTATCAAAGGCTGATTCTTATCATCATGCTTATTATTTTTTTACTCCTGATTCTATTCTCTACGTTTAAAAAATCTTTCTCCATCTTCAATGTAAATACTTAATGCAGGTTTTTTTATTGATGTCCTTTCTCTTTTAAAGGTCTGAAAATGTATTGGAAATGTAGTTGGACTGGTACTAGTTGCAAGCTTTGTTATAGTTTGCAAAAGATTTGTTATAAGGCTACAATTTTTTTCTAAAAATACCTTTTACTGCTTAAACAAGCAAGCATCTCTCGCTCCATCAACCAAAACTCAATCTTGTGTGCTTTGTGTTTTTGCTATGACTGACACAACAAAATGCACATAAATATTGCTGACACAACAAAATTTAGAAAAACTGACATTTAGAGATTTAGTTACAAAAAATTTTGCGCTACAAAATCAGTATAAAAAAATAAGAACACATATCACTTACTTGATGAAATTGACAATTTTTTCTTTGACGCTCACATCTCAAGTAGTGTAAAGCCACTGTCCAAAAGAACCAATCAGACTCATCCCCAAATAATCTATAAAAATGTTTTAATAAATCAAAATAAAATAAAAAACAAAAAAAAAAACAAACGTTTTAAAATTATATTATTAAATAGTAATTTACTAGTAAATAATATTTAAAAAAATCATCAACAAATAAAACATTGTAAAATGATATTAAAAAAATATATCTTACTGTGCTATATATATGCATCTTTCTGCAGTGCCAAAAGGACAATTGTATAAATTGCTCAAGACCGAACTATACACAAAAAGAAATAAACAACTAGTTATAGTTAGCATGTATAACTTTACACAATTATTAATTATAATAAACATTCATATAAATAACTTTACACAATTATTAATTATAATAAACATTCATATAAATAACTTTACACAATTATTAATTATAATAAACATTCATATAAATAACTTTACACAATTATTAATTATAATAAACATTCATATAAATAACTTTACACAATTATTAATTATAATAAACATTCATATAAATAACTTTACACAATTATTAATTATAATAAACATTCATATAAATAACTTTAAACAATTATTAATTATAATAAACATTCATATAAATAACTTAATAACATATGAGACAATTTTTAATTTTTTTATTTGAATTATTTATAAACTAAATAAATTTTAATTTTTTATTTAATAACATTGTCTTTTCCAAATTTAAGTCAAACTTTGAGTAAGGAATCTGCAATGTTAAGTAAGGAGTCTGAAAATTGAAATTATACATAGAAAATCCATCGTTCTCATATTCCATGCATGTAAAGTTCCAAAATCAACTGTTAGAGTTATTATAAAATGTAATAAGGAAAACAAAACTGTAAAATAAAATCGGGAAGTAGTGGAAAATCAAAATTTATTTCCAAATAGGAGGCAAAATCAATAGTCAGCTTAATTCATCAATATCCCACTCAATCACATCAAGATTTAGTTATGATATTTAAATGCAATAAAGCTTTTGTTCAAAGAATATTCAAAAAAGAAAATATGAAAAAAAATTACAAGAAAAAAATACCAAAAAGATCGCTTGATGGAAAAATCAAGGTAATGGATGAGCTAAAAATTTGCTTAAGAGTAATTCCATGTCAATTGAGCCAGGCCATGTCACCATACATCTCAGATTTTGCTGATTTTTATACAGTTGAGAGTACTTAGTAAAACAAAAATCCCTTGAAAATTTTAGCTTCTAGCTCCAAGAGGATCATGAAATATGATCATTTTACTTTTAACTGATCTTGGCCAGGCCCCTCTTGTCCCCTCAGAAGTGTGACCTTTGTTTAAAGGTTCCAAGTCACATAGCTTTAAAAATATTTGATCTTTTAACTTAAAAACTTGTACCTGGCTATTTTCAGGGTCGAAGAATCCAATGAAATAATCAGAAATGTAAAAAAAAAAATTTAAGTACTTGTAATTATCAATTTAAATAAATTTAGGCAATTTTTTATATACCTGGTTTTGATGCTCAAGAAAGCCATGTGGCCTTGACGATATAAAAAAAAAAAATTGTACACATTATTCTATGTTTAATGATCTTTCAGAAAACATAAAAATTTTGATCTGCAAGTATATGGATTTCCATATATGGTTAACGGGGCACATGCCCCACTATATTGTAGCAGAATCTTGCCATACATTTTTCACTAGCTTTCAGACTAGCTGGAACGATGAAAATTTTGGTATTTATGTAGTGTCAATAAATGTGCATTTTAAAATTAAAAAAGGGCCCAAGATACTAGAGGAGGGGGCTGGGGGGATGTGCCCCACTTTTTTGACTGGAATCTTGAGATGGATTTTTCAGTATCTTCCAGACAAGCGTGAGCTTTGAAACTTTCAGCATTTGTGTAGTCCTGATGAACATGCTTTAAAATAGTTTCAGGTCAGACGACTAGAAGGTCCATGGGGCTGGGGCACCAGGGACCATGCCCCACTTATTTTCTCAAAAAAAATTTTTTTTTTTAAACACATTTTAACACATAAAACTATTGTCTTCAAAATTTTTTTTTAGATTTTTATTTTTAACAATGTTAAACATATCTTTGGTAACATTGCTTCCACAACTTTTTGTGATTTATATTTATTCAATTTGGTTTTTGATCATTCTATGTTCAATGATCTTTCTTAAAATGTTTTAAGAAAGTTAATGTTTATAAGAATTTTGATTTGCATGTATTAGATTAAAAACAGTCTAAAATAATGGTTTTACCATAATTTTATTTTGTATAATTTAAAATTTTAATTTAAAAAAGATTAATATATTTTAATGCTAAAATGGTAACAGCAAGTTGTTTAATTAACTTTCAACAGAAAAAAACATCCTGTCATAACATTATATCAATAAAAAAGAAATTTATCAATTTTTCAAAATCATTATTTTATTTGATATTTGCTAATTCTAAAATGTTAACAGCAAGTTATTTTATTAAATAAGAACTATTTACAGTAACAAAAAACATCCTGTCATTACACTAGTATAGAAGAAATTTGTTACCTATTAAAGTCATCATTAACATTTTTAACATTAACAAATTGATTATAATTAAACTTTGTGAAAAGGAAACTTTCTTTTTGTCAAAGTAAGATAAAAGAAATCAATCACTATTTAGTTTTGTATTACCATGGTGATTGCTTAAGTTGCTTTCATTGAATTAATTACTATTAGTTTCTCATTTTTAAACTAATATCAAAATGTTTTTAGTGTTACAGTAAGAATGGATTCATGTGATTTTGGAAAAAAATTAAATGATACTTGTCATAAACTAAGTTATTGTAGAAAGATTGATTTAAAGAAATTTGATTGCTATAGAGAAGATGCCAGAGAAGAATTTATTTGGAGATCTGGAATAACAGATGATAAAATTTTAACAATCTGCCTTCATCATGAAAAGATTTTTGGTACACACTTTGAAAAGAAGCACACAAAATGTTGTAATTTATTGGACAAGCATAAATCAAAAAAAAAAACAATCAAAGGTAAATATTGTTGATAAAAAATTATTGTCAAATCTTTTTTGAATAATGAAAATTATTGACAAAAGTAAATGTGATGATTTAGACAAACTAACAGCAGAAATAAAAGAAAAGTTAATTGTTTCTGACCAAAAAACTAAAATTCAGTTATTAACATTTACACCCGAGTCTTGGTCAAGAAATTTTGCTGCAAGATATTTCAACGTCACTATATACCAAATTAAAGAAGCGCGCAAACTAAAGAAAATGAGTGGGATTTTTTCAGTTCCAGGCACTAAGAAAGGAAAAACATTTTCAGAAATAACATTAAATAGAGTCAACAATATATACCATGATGAAGAATTTACTAGACAAATGCCTGGTAAAAAAGATTACGTAAGTATTGGTAGAAAACAACACATGCAAAAGCGTCTTATTTTATGTAATCTTAAAGAACTTTATGTTTCTTTTAAAACTAAATATCCTCAAGAAGTTATTGGATTTTCTAAGTTTTGCAGTTTAAGACCAAAATGGTGTATAACTGTTGGAGCATCAGGCACTCATTCTGTTTGTGTATGTACCCTCCATCAAAATGCAATACTCTTGACCAATGCTATACAAATGAAATGTACTTACAAAGATATGATGACAAAAGTTGTTTGTGATGTGACAAGTAACGAGTGCATGGTTCATCGATGTCCGAACTGTCCAGGTATGGTTTCTTTAAAGAAGTTTCTGGATGCACAACTAATTGATAATGACAATGACAAGGAGGTGTCATTCAATCAGTGGCAGAAAACAGACAGAACAACATTGATCTATCAGACAACAACTATTGAAGAATACAAATTGATGTTATCAGAGGCAATAAACAAGTTAACAGCTCATTCCTACATTGCAAAATGTCAATCAAGATACCTAAAGCAACAAAAGGAAAATTTAGCAAAAAACTGCTGTATTGTCTTAGTTGACTTTGCAGAAAACTTCACTTTTGTGATTCAAGATGAAATCCAAAGTTACCATTGGTGCAAAAGTCAATGCACATTGCACCCTGTTGCCCTCTATTTATTAAACGAAAATGACCAACTTGAAGAAAAATCGTTTTGTTTCATGTCAGAAGATAATGAGCATGACACTGGTTTTGTGTATGAAGTTCAAACACAAATAGTTAACTATTTAAAAGAATATCATCCTAAAATTTCAAAGATTCTTTATTTTTCTGATGGTTGTGCTGCACAGTATAAAAACCACAAAAACCTTTACAATATCTGTCTCCATAAGAATGATTTTGACATTGATGCAGAGTGGACATTTTTTGCTACAAGTCATGGTAAGTCATCATGTGATGGTATTGGTGGCATTGTAAAACGATTAACTACAAATGCAAGTCTACAAAGGCCCATAAATGATCAGATATTGAATTGTAACAAAATGTTTGACTACTGTACTAACAATATTAAAGGGATTATTTTTTTCAAGATTGAAAAAGAAAGACTGACAGAATTGCGCACCACTTTGAAAACACGTTTTGAGCTAAGTAGAACAATCCCTGGAACTAGGAGCTATCATCAATTTAAACCAGAATCTATAGATACTATTAGCTTTAAACGAACAAGTGAAGATGTTCATATAACAGGCATTTTTTCTTTTTCTGGTATTCAAAGTTCTTAAAATGATCAGCAAATTAACATTGATGCCTTGAAATTTGGTGAATTCATTATGTGTAAATATGATGCGTTTGATTGGATTGGTATGATCAATGAAGTTGATAATATAGAGCAAGATGTTATGGTAACATTTATGCACCCGCACGGTCCTTTTAATAAACTTTTCTGGCCATCTAGAGTAGATGAGTGTTGGGTTCCAATTACCAACATAACTTGTATAATTGATGCACCTGTAACAACAAATGGATGTTTGTATACTTTGACCGTCAATGCATCTAAGCTAATCTTAGCATTATCTTGACAATTTCTTTTTTTTGTATTTTACTTTGTAAATAATGAAGTAAAATGGAACAAGCATAAAGCAATAAAATATTTAAATACAATATTTTCAAAGTTATCTTAAATTTTAGACAAAAAAAAAATTTTTTTTTTTGAGAAAATAAGTGGGGCATGGTCCCTGGTGCCCCAGCCCCATGGACCTTCTAGTCGTCTGACCTGAAACTATTTTAAAGCATGTTCATCAGGACTACACAAATGCTGAAAGTTTCAAAGCTCACGCTTGTCTGGAAGATACTGAAAAATCCATCTCAAGATTCCAGTCAAAAAAGTGGGGCACATCCCCCCAGCCCCCTCCCCTAGAGTCTTGGGCCCTTTTTTAATTTTAAAATGCACATTTATTGACACTACATAAATACCAAAATTTTCATCGTTCCAGCTAGTCTGAAAGGTAGTGAAAAATGTATGGCAAGATTCTGCTACAAAATAGTGGGGCCTGTGCCCCGTTAACCATATATGGAAATCCATATACTTGCAGATCAAAATTTTTATGTTTTCTGAAAGATCATTAAACATAGAATAATGTGTACAATTTTTTTTTTTTATATCATCAAGGCCACATGGCTTTCTTGAGCATCAGAACCAGGTATATAAAAAATTGCCTAAATTTATTTAAATTGATAATTACAAGTACTTAAAAATTTTTTTTTACATTTCTGATTATTTCATTGGATTCTTCGACCCTGAAAATAGCCAGGTACAAATTTTTAAGTCAAAAGATCAAATATTTTTAAAGCTATGTGACTTGGAACCTTTAAACAAAGGTCACACTTCTGAGGGGACAAGAGGGGCCTGGCCAAGATCAGTTAAAAGTAAAATGATCATATTTTATGATCCTCTTGGAGCTAGAAGCTAAAATTTTCAAGGATTTTTTGTTTTACTAAGTACTCTCAACTGTATAAAAATCAGCAAAATCTGAGATGTATGGTGACATTTTTGAAATTTTCTGGCTCAATTGACATGGAATTACCCTTAAATTAATTACAAAAAAAAATTAATACATTTTAGAAGACAATGAAACTTACTGTAAAAAAGATCACTCAACGCTTCCAGATAATATTATCAGTTGAATCAATACTATTATCAGTTGAAACATTATAAAGCTTCTGACAAATTTAAGAACATTTGATTAAGAAAATTACTTTAGAGTACCTTTTATGGCTGGTAATTTGTAGTTGAGGTTTTAAAAGTTCTCCTTTCATAACAAATCAATCTTTGACACCAGATCTATATGTGAAGGAATGCTTGAAGAAACGACTTCTTCCTCTAATTAAAAAGCACAAATAATCAACCTTATTTTTGCCAGATCTGGGATCGATCAACCATTCGAAAAAAGTAATTTAGTGGTATAAGAAAGAAATGAGTAAATTATGTTCCTAAGGATGCTAATTCTCCAGACTTGACCCTAATAAAAAGTAGCGTAGTAAAAACCTTACTTCTTCATTCTACGCACACTCAGAGAGAGATAGCAGCAATTGCAAGTGTTTCAAAGTCAGTAGTGAGTTGAATTAAAAGAAAAATTGATACAATTGTGCCTCTAGAACCAGACTGTGTCAGCAAAAGTGACAGAAAAACAATCACTACTCAATGTTGTGACCATAAAATTAGATACATCTGTCTTGAAAATAGAAAAAAAAGTGTGGCTCAACTAGCTACAATGATAAACAATGAAAGAATTAACATCTCCAAAAAGATGGTTCAGAGAAGGTTGGCTGAAAAAAATATAATGGGTTGCCTTCCAACCAAAAAACTACGTTTAACTGAAGCTACAAAAAAAAAGCGATTTGAATGGGCTAGACAACACTAGCATATGACTATTGAAGACTGGAGTAGAGTAAATATAATTTATAATATTGTAAGAAACCAGAAAATTTTAAGGTTAATAGTTTAAAATATCTTTGAAATGTTTTACAGGTCTGCTTCTCGGACAAACCAACATTACAATTTATGATGGACAAAACAGCCCATTTGTTTGACAACGCCCAGGTGAAAAATTTCACCAAGACTGTCTTTTGGAAAAGGTTAAACATCCTGTGAGTGTAATGGTGCAGTCTGTGATCTCAGCCAAGTGTATGGGCTGCCTTTAAATTGTGGAAGGGACCATGAGGCAGGGCCAGTACAAGCGAGCACTGGAAAACAGGCTCCTACCCCAGATCCAAGAATGGTTCTCTGGTAATAAAGAGTATATGTTCATGCATGACTCAGCACCATGCCATAGAGCTAGAAGTGTTACAGGATTCCTAACAGAAAAAAAAAAGTGCTTGTTTTGCCATGGCCAGGGAATTTATCTGATATGAACCCCATAGAAAATCTATGGGAGTTCACAAAACAGAAAATTGCCAAAGAAATCATCACTATTAAGTAGCAATTGATAGAAACCCTTATAAGAGAGTGGCATAGCAACCCCAGTCTCCTACACTTTGCAAAATTCTACATAGAAAGCATGCTCCAACGTCTGAAAGCTGTTATGTATCTAATATTAAGATTATTACTTTATTTGTTATGTTAAAACTTTTTAAATGAAAATAAATAGCTATGAACTTATAAGTAATTATGATGCTTTATGTTCTAAATAAAGCTCTCTTACAATCAAAAAAAAATAATAATAACTACAAGATAGGTATTTATTCATTAAAGTAGTTTATACTTTAAAATACCTTAAAAAGCTAAGTGTCCCTAATAATTTGGCAACCCACTGTGTGTGTGTGTATATATATAATATTATTCACTGATATTTAGAGTTACATATATTGACATGACATGTAGGTGTAAAAAAAAAAATATAAAAAGACATACACATGTAAATAGTATATATAAAAATAAAATAGCAACCACTGGATTAGAATCATACCCTAAGTATCAACGTAATAACCTTAACCAAACAAATAATCTTAACATTTAGACTAAGCTAAATAGCGCTACCAAACAAATATATTTTTTATTATTGTGTCCTCTTATGACCAATAAAATTACACTAATTAAGTTTGATACAACTAATTTGTAACAAAAGTTAAGTGTAATTGCTCTACGCAAAGCAGCTTTAATTTTTCAATCAAATTAGCTACAGGTTTTGGATACATGTCACTTACTTTGAAATTAATCACCCCCTAACAGAGTTCACTTTCATTAAAATCCAGGGAAGATCCAGGATATGGATCCAAAAACAAAATATTACTGGTCATCAGCTAGTTTCAGATAGCTGGAGTTGTGACAGGATGCTAAATCTTGCTGAAACACTGAGTAATATCATAGCTGTATGGTTACAACCCCTCCTTTATTATGAGTAGACAAACAGCTGTATTAATTATTGTTTCAGCTAGCATTATCAAAAGAACACATTGTCTGCAACCAATGATATATGATAGTCCCCATAACATCATTAACTTGTGGTGGTTTTATAGTAGTATTAACGCACTCTCCACTTGGACTCTCCTTTATTTAGCAACTATAAAGTTGTTTGACTGCATCTTCATCAGAAAACGTAAACTTATGTCAATCTTTTGTTGTATATATTTTGTAGGGTTTGTTAAACTCATATTTTTACCATAGAGAACTTGCTTTAAAGCTGGCCTATATAACTTCTACTCTTAAAATCAACAAGGCAAATCTTTTGGGTTAGAATAGACACTAAACACAATGTTGCTGAAAATTTGCGCTCTGAGATGTTTGACTTTAAAAATAAAATATTTTTTTACAACCTATGCATTATACAATTATATTTGATTAATTATATTTGATATTTGACTCTGATTAGACTACACATTACCAGTAACCACACCACACATGTTTATGTTAGTGGCATGATGCATAGTGCTTTTGTTAAAAAATTGTTATGTCATATGATTCTAATCCAGTGGCTGGCACTGTATATCAGGAAAGATGAGGTTCTTTTTGTAATGGAGGCAACATGCTTAAAAAAGTAAAACTTTTATAAAAATTCCCAAATTTGTTGCTAAAGCAGTTTTAAGAGTTGGTAAACCTAATTTCAACTTACCTAGAAAGATTTTGTAACTGTTCTTGAACTAAAGTATCGTCTTTTTCATTAGAAATGCTAAAAGAATAATTTTGATGTATTTTTTCACTTTATCTCAAATTTAAATTAGACATTGTGAGCAATGAAATTAAAAAAAGTATTTGCAACATTTATGCAATCATTTCACAAATAAAAATAACTATAAATTTTAGTAAAAACATTCATACAAAGTTGCACAGTATTTAGCTCTCCATTGTTGGTGCTGTAATAAATACTTTATTTTTAAAGAGACAACAGTATCATTCATTCGAGGATTAAAAATGGGTACTAAAAAAAAAATTATGCAATAACTTTTAAATGCATGAAATGTGAAATGTTAAACTGATTTAAATTAAAAAATAAAATCATTAGTATTACCTTCATACTTTTTTTGCGATATTGGACAATTTGCAGACTTTAACAAAGGATCATATATTCTCACTGAACCATCAGTTAGTAAAAGAAGAGGCAAAGTTGATGACAGCCAATCAGCATCTAAAACTGATATTTGGTCTTTAGCTGACTTGGTGAATGCAAGAATGTGCGCCTAAAAATTTTTTAATTTAAAAAATAACATAAAGTTATAAACACTATTTTTATATTATTTTTTGTACACAATATAATATAAATACTATAAATAAAAGTAATATAATATAAATATATAATACTATTTTTCGTATTTTATTATATAATATAAATAATTTTTGTATTTTACTGCTAATCAAATTTTTTTTATAAATAGGTTTATACATAGGTTTTTTTGTTTTTTAAACAATATATAAAATTTTTTTGTTCAAATTTTATGAAAATTCTTTTAACTATTTGATATAGTATTTATTCAAAGCATTCTTTTCGCTATTTTAATTCTAATTTAAATAGCAGAAAAAAATTAATTTTTTAAATTGCGCAGACTAAATTAAAAATCACCATCATGTCTGCGCTTTTTTGTGCGTTGGCATAAATTTCAAACAGAGATTGTATATATATATATATATATATATATATATATATATATATATATATATATATATATATATGTATATATATATATATATATATATATATATATATATATATATATATATATATATATATATATATATATATATATATATATATATATATATATATATATATATATATATTTACAATATTACATTTACAAGACTTAACAACAAACAATTAATCTAGTAAATATTTTTTGTTTTTAAAACTAAAAACTTAAAAAGCTGATATAAAAAACTTAAAAGTTTTTCATATCTAACAGCTTTTTTTACTTGTTTAATTCTGTCTGATTACTAACAACAGTAGTAAGAGATTTCCCAATTGAGAGGGATTTTTCATTTTCAACCAAATTTTCAACCATAAATTAATATTAATATTGAGGTTAACATTGAACCATGTTGTATATAAATTATTTAGATAAGAAATAATTTTTTTATTTTAAAAAAAATTGATTTTTTTAAAATAAGTGTTAAATTTTATTTCTTGTTATGAAATATTACGAAAAATTCTTAAAATGACGTCACTTTTCCTGCTTCTTATTTACACCCTAATTCATGCAAGTATTTTAGCAATTCAAGGTTGTTATTTTTAACAGCTTTTTCAAAAGCTTGACCAAATTCAAATTCTGAAGCTCTGTACCCTAATTCATGCAAGTATTTAATTAATTCAAGGTTGTTATTTTTAGCAGCTTTTTTAAAAGCTTGGCCAAATTCAAATTCTGAAGCTCTGTACCCTAATTCATGCAAGTATTTAATTAATTCAAGGTTGTTATTTTCAACAGCTTTTTTAAAAGCTTGGCCAAATTCAAATTCTGAAGCTCTGTACCCTAATTCATGCAAGTATTTAATTAATTCAAGGTTGTTATTTTTAGCAGCTTTTTCAAAAGCTTGACCAAATTCAAATTCTGAAGCTCTATACAATAATTCATTAAAATAATTTAGCAATTCAAGGTTGTTATTTTCAACAGCTTTTTTAAAAGCATTATCAAATATATCTTCTGAAGCTCTATACCCTAATTCATTTAAAAACTTCAACATTAAAATGTTGTTATTTTTAGCAGCTATTTCAAAAGCATTATCTACACTTTGTTTTTTTGATTGGATTAAATATTTAATCAAGTCAATTTTTCTTATTTTTACAGCAAAATAAACTTTATTACCTTGTTTATACCCATATTTTTTTAGATAATCATTTAGATCATCATCAATCATACCATTTTTATCTTCATCATATTCATCATATTCATCATCACTCATGTTATCATCATTCATTTTATCATCTTTATTAATCATTTCATTTTCATTATATTCATCATCAGTCATTTCAATATCATGAATATTAATAATATTTAATTTTTCTTCAACTAATCTTAATCTTTCATTTATTGATTTTAATAATTCTTTTATATTATTTTCCATTCTTTTTATATATAAAAGAAAAATTATTTAAGTCATTTTCAAAATTTTTTTTATTTTTAATACGCATGCGCTAGATTTACTTACACATAGTAGAATTGTCTTAACAATATTATATAGGGTCTCTTATTGCATATAATTCTAGTTCTGTTGCTACAAATGGAAGAGTACTATTTTGTATATAATTATCAAATATAGGCATAGCAGGTTGTCCATTATATACATAGTTCATATTTTGACATACAGGTGCCCAATAACCACCACTTGTATCTAGTGTAAGTACTGCTCCAGAATTCATCAAGCTTTTTGTAGTTGTCAAATTTAAACCGCAAAATCCTTGTCCTAATTCTGTACATCCAAATGGTGTATCTGTTGATATGAGTTGCGCAATATTTTGATAATGCATAGACATCATTGGAAGGAATGCTTGTTTAAATATAATATTATTCCATACACCATTAATTTTATATTTAAGTCTATATTTATAATAGCCATCTTTGTTTTTATACTGCCAATTAGTAAATAATGTACTATATAATTGAGAAGTAGATGGAGTAGAATTAAATACTCTATAGGCGCTATAATAATTGTTAAGAAATAAATATCCAGCAACTTGTCTAACTAATAATACTTCTCCAGAATTATATGGTGTTCCATAGCCACCACCATATATATTATTCATTGCAATTGGTATTGCTTCAAAAAATTTGTTTGCTAAAAATATTTGTTGTCTTGAATCATAATGTACTCCATCGAAATTTGCACTCCTAAGACTGGGAGGCATACCATCTAGAGATATACTAGCTGTATATGGAGAAAAATTTATAATATTTTTTAATGCATCTTGAACTTGAGTTGCTGTAGTTGAGTTTGCTTGAACCCATGAAGATAGCATTTGAAATGTAATGAATAGCATTTTATTTGCTTTTATTTGTGAGATTGGCAATGTATCAAATTGGCTTGATGAGTATGCAATATAATCTCTAATGGTTTGTATAAAATTCATTAGAATATATGCATAGTTATCACACCAACCGGTTTTAGAATCATCTTCTCCTTGACTCCAAGTCATACAGCAAAACTCTGCGTTATAATGTGATGAAATGTAATTGATTTTACGAGTTAAATTTTTAAAACCAGTTCCATACGGCATAAAATAATCATTACTGAAACTTTTAGCAGTTAGCATGCATGGAAGTATCATTAAACATTCATCAGGATTTATCATATTTAATGTATTCGCACCTTCAGCATCTTGCATTATAAGCCCAGCAAGTATTGAACCATATCCTGCCCAACAATTATTATCTGTTTCATTTACATCTAGTCTCAATGAACAAGGAAGTAACACATCATTTTGTCCATTACCCATCGCAAATTGGACTATTCGTCTGTTCATATAATTTACATTAGTTATTGATTGAGATAAACCCCATTCTCTACCAGCATATGTATTTGATTGACCAGCTATAATCAAAACTTTATATTTATGATGATAAGGAATTAAGCGATCTACATAATTCTTTGTAGCTGTATCTTGTGCATTAGTAGGATCAGCTACATTAATCAATTTATGTGAATTCAAATTTATATTAGCAGTTGCAGGATTATAACCATCAGTTCTTAGATACAAATTACTAGAAATCTGATTATTATCAACATAATGTTTTGTAGCTGCATCCTGTGCATTAGTAGGATCAACTACATTGATCAATTTATGTGAATTCAAATTTATATTAGCACTCATACTATTAGTTCCATCTAATTTTAGACATGCACTGCTAGAAGTTTGATTGTTATCAACATAATACTTTGTAGCTGCATCTTGTGCATCTGTAGGATCAGCTACATTGATTAATTTATGTGAATTCAAATCAACATCAGTAGTGGCTGTATTGCCAACATTAATGTTGATATTTAATCCATCTGTTGTGTAACCATATAATGAATTACTACCTGCTATATTCATACTCATTTTAAATATGCTATATTTTTTTTAATTCAATATAATGAGTTTTCAATACTTTGAAAATCAACACCTTCATCAAGCTTTTTTAATACATAAAGGCACAAGTGTCCGCAAAAAGAAGTGTCTCCAAACTGAATTCTTTTACTATTATAATAAACAGGACTGTGTAAATATTGAACAAGTTCAACTGGAGGTGGTAGTGCATAAGAGTCAAAACTTAATTTTTCTTCTCCATCTTTATACCAACAAATCCAATGAAATCCATTCGTACTTGAATCTCCAGTATTTAATATTCCACATTCTTTGTTTTGTGTATTTTTAGGTAATTCATCTCTTACAAATACACCTCTAAAGTTTTTAATTTTTAATTTTTTTGCTGCTTTTATTAATTGAAAGTTTGTTAAGGGTACATTTGGCAATATAATTCCTTCAACATTGATATGTTTGTCCATTTTTATTACTTTATTAGATTTTTTTAGATCTTTTTAAGATATAAAAAATAACTTACCTGCGTGTTTGCCTGCTTGCCTGTTTATTTCCAATCAATTTGAAATGAAAAGTTGGGTTTGGGTTCTGAAGGAACCAATGTTTTATTCTCTTTTAATTTATAATGTCCATATGCTAATGTGTGAATACCATCTTCTTGAATTACTCTTTTATCATCTTCTGCACTCAATGCTATTTTGTTTATTTCTTCAGTATAAACATCATGTAAATGAGATCTTATGACATTCATTTTTCTCATTTGATCTTTCTTATTTATAAGGCAGTCTTTATAATCTTCATGTGTAATATAATTTTTTACTACATTTCTCTTTACTCCTTTACATCTCTTTTTATCTTCTTCATCTATTTTGTAAGAATACAACTTTGATCTGAGTCCAATAAATTCCGTAATTTGTTTTCCTGCTGATTCATCTTTAAACATTCCTATTACTTTCTTATTTACACCAACTTTAAATCCATTTTGAACAGCTGGATGATCTTTATTAAATTCACTTGTATCAAATTTACTTTCAATATCATTAGAAATATCTGCATAAAAGTCTTTTGTTTTTATTTCATAGATTAATGAATCTGTATCTGTATATAATAGTTTAGCTTTATCTCCATATTTATTTTTCATGTAATCATAATGAAATTCATACATTAGTGTTT